TAATTTAATGAAAAGATATTTTTCAATAGAATTTTGTTCAATAAAAACAGCAATACATTCAATTGTCGTTGTTAATGATATTTCATATATATCAATTAAATCTTGTACATAATCATTAAAAAGTGATTCATATGAAAGTAATTTTATTATATCAATATTTTGTTGATTTAATGAAATTTTTTGTGTAATATTATTATTTTTTGACAATGATATATCATTTATTCTATTTGGGTTTTCTTGTTGAACGATTGTACGTTGTTCTCGATTATGAATAATAAATGAAACTTGATCTTTAACTAATTTTATTTGACGATTTAATGATGAAATTTCATTAGTAAGCCAATTGATTCTAGTTTATAAAAATTAAAAATATTGTTTAAGATTGTAAAAATTTTTTTATAATAATCAATTAAAACACTTGAAAAAAAAACCTATGATCAATCATTGAAAGACTTATGAAAATTGAGATCAATATTGAGGAAGGTAGTCCAAGGTTTGATCTTTCCTAAATGACATGACTTTTTTATTTGCTATCTTTTTTTTTAAACTTCCGTCATTTTCTGCTTTAAACAGGTAAAGTGGAAAATTTTTTGTCGTTTTTCTCTGTTTTATGTTTTGTTTGATTGCACATGCCAGAATTCTCGAAGAAGCTTTATTGTAACCAATAAGTTTGTTTGTGTTATAAAGAACACGGTAAGAAGCAAGGCATGAGAACCTGATTTTTTAATTAAAGTCTGTTACGATTCCATTAAAGAGTACTTTTATAATTAGAATGCCATTTTTTTTAAATATTCGACTTTTCTGCTCTTAAAAGGCAAGAGTAAAAAAGGGATTATATCATCCTCTATATCCACAACTATTCTGTCAAACAAAAAAATTAATTAGACATATAGAATGAAGATCTACAGAAAATTTTGCGTTATCACATTAGCTATTGTTAACCCTAGCTCGTTGAATATTTTGCGAGAACGCCATGCTATAGGACTGAACATTTCATACGATTTGAAGCCAGCTAGACTAAGATTGATTTTTAAGAAGATCTGAGGTTTTATCCTTAGATGTTGTTTTAGATCAAGTTGAAGAATATTAAATATTTTCCCCAAAAGTATTTGATAAGAGAAGGCATCATAGAAGCATATTATGAAAATCGAGTTGCTGAATGTGAGTATGGTTAATTGATAAGAAAATTTTGCAAAAGTTATTTTTTTGTCTAGTGTAAACTTAATATTATGACAAAAGAAAACTAACTGGAATATCTTAGCAAAGTAGTTATTTTGATATAAAAATGCACAGTAATTAGACATGTAATGCTTTTAGACAATAATTTGTAGGTTTTAAAAACAAATGAATAAATATGATCCATACTAAACTTATTACTATGCTCTAATTGCGTTATATTTAGTAGAAGAAATCGATCGATAAAACTTTTCTGGTTACTTTTATGAAAATAACAGGTAACAGAAAAGTTTTACGAGTTCAATATGATTGCTTCTATTCTATCAAGAAAATGCACTATTTGTTTTAAAATTAAAAGAAAACATTTTCTTCACATACTGTATATTGACATTTCGATGTTGTTGAAAAACAGATCGAAATTCTCCTTGATTTACATGAAAAATGTTACCACCATCACGCCATACTTTCCGATTAAAAGAGCTTGTTGTAAATGTATTAGTCATAGAACATAGAATCCAAACGTAGAATAAGAAAAGTATGATTACAGTATTTGACAACATTGAAAATAATATAAATGAAGAAGATTGAATAATAAAATAAATTGTCACCCTTATTTTTTCTATTTTTTCTTCACGTCAAAATAAATCTTCTTGTTGTAGTATTGTGTTCTTGTATGTTTTTTTTTCTTCTACTTTATTCATTTCTTTTTTTTTCCTTCTATGGTGATCGTTTTTTTTCTTTCTTTCTGCTATAATTGAGTCATTTCTTTCAATATGCACGACAGGCAGGCAGGCAGGCATATATTTAATTTGAAGTTGATGTGAGAAAAAAAATTACCAGATTTTATTTTGAAAATGAAATTTGTACTTTAATTGAACGAATTCGTATGTTTGCTTTCAAGTGAGACACGAAACAAACGAGGATTAACGTAAAGAAAACGAAAGACATGTCACAATATTTGACTTGTTGTCTCGCTTATTTTTTTTCCTGTATTGAGACAACGAACAAATGTATAAAATTATCATTATATATTGTTTTTTACTCTTATTAATGATTACAAATGTTTTTGTCAATGGTTCATGCGATATATTTTTCTATAATAAAGTATAAAAAATATTCTTTTATTTTGATCAATAATTTCTTTTGTGTTTAATTTACAAGTGTCCATTACCACCAGTTACGATCAAAATAAATGTTGCTGAATTTTGTCGGGAAGCTAAAAAACATGTTGATTGTGTGAATAGACGTTTGGAAAATTGCACCGAAGTTCAAGAATATGGTCCAGCTTTAGGTAGGTTGAAGATTAATCCTTTTAGTCAAATGCAATAAGTAAATACTCAATGTTTACTTTTGAAAGGTCATACAGAAGAAATGTCTTCCGATACTTCTGATGATGTGAAGAAAAACTCTTTCTGTTTTCAATCATGTAAGACAAGTATTGTTTTCAACTGATCAGAAAGAGAATATTTAGTGCATTGTCAATGTCGACGAAAGCAAAAAAAAGAAATTTAATTGATTGACACAGATGTAAATGTATGTGATATTCTATCTTGCACTTACGAGGGAAAGTTTCCAAATGATTACAAGCTTTTGAGCTCATATGTTGCCCATTAGGTAGGGAACCACTAGATTAGAGAAACTTCCAAAGGATTCGTGCCCATATTGAGATTTGACAGAGATATCGAATTTTTAGTAGATTTTTCCTGCTGGACCCTAGTTCTACAGCAAAATCATATTTTCGAATTTCGATCTGAAACTTTGCCCCAATGAAGGCTTTGATTAGAGTAGCTTATATAGAAAATTTCAGAAGTTTTGGACATTGCATTTCCAAGGTATCAATTTTTGAAAATATAGGCACTTTTCTATCGATAACATGGATACTTTGAAAGATTGATACCTTGGAAATGCAATGTGCCAAAATTCTGAAATTTTTTATACAAGCTACTCTGATCGAGGCCTTCATGTGGGCAAAGTTTCAGATCGCAATTCGAAAATATGATTTTGCTGTAGAACTAGGGTCCAGCAGGAAAAATCTACTAAAAATTCGATATCTCTGTCAAATCTCAATATGGGCACGAATCCTTTGAAGGTTTCTCTAATCTAGTGGTCCCCTACCTAATGAGTAACATATGAGCTCAAAAGCTTTTAATCACTTGGGAACGTTCCCTCGTTAGTTTTAAATATAAAAAGTTAAGGTGACTTTGTATGTGAAAGAAAAATGATTCAGTTTCGCTGTACTCTACAGTTATAAGAAAATCTTTGTAAAAAATAAACAGATGAATGAACCAGATTGAATCCTGTGCGATTGGACCACTTGACAAAACTTCATAGAAATCCGAGTTATTAAATTACCGAAGGATCCAACGGTTATATTTGATCAGATTTCAAATCTGCTGGTCTAGATATGATTTCTTCATCCGTTTCCGGCAATATTCATACAGGATTCAACCAGATTTTATTGGGTCCTGATCGAATTATTGGATTCATTCTCTTAGGAACAAATACATAGGAAAGATTTTTTCCTTTTTCGACGCGCATCAATGTATTCTTATAATTCCAATTTCATATTTTTCTTGTCGGGTAAAGGTATTCATTGAGCTAAACTTGACAAAGAATAAAAACACAAGTGGAAGTATTCTGGATATTCAGTTTCATGTTTGATTTCATCGAGTTTCAATTTGATATATGTGCTTTTGTTTGCAGTCGTAGTTCTACAGACGCAAGCTTCTTGAACTTGAACATTTAAAAATCATTTGACTAATAACTTTTATCCAGATTATTTTTTAATCATTAACATTAGCATTTCTTCATTCATACATGAATCAAATCGAAAAAAAAACGAATCAGATGCCGAACTCTACGCACTTCTACATTTCATTATAATCCAAAACAAAGTCTACGATTTTTTTATATTATCATTACATCTTTTTTTTTCTTTTCTAGAAACTTTAAAATTAACATTTAAAGTTTATTTAACTCAAGCAACATCACATGGTTGTCATGATCTTTATGATCGAATACGAATACCACGACGGCTTCCACGTACACGACATACAACAACAAGAAAACCTCGTAGACGTAAACAAAAAAAACGCCGAACAACGATAGCTGTTGAATATCATTGTCGAAAAAATGTTGTTGTCAAATCTTGTGGATATTGGAATCAATCATTATTAATACTTAATCGAACAATATGTCATCATGCTTTTCAGTATATTCAATGTTTAATACCATTGAAAATAAAATGTCAAAATATGTTATCGAATGATGAACAAATTTTACAAATTCAAACATTTTTACAAAAATGTTATAAAAAATTTATTAAATCTTCAAAAAATCATATCGATTGTTTAAATTCAAATATTATTTTTGTTTTTATTAGTTTAGTAACTTATGTTATTTTCAAACAAGAATTAAATCAAGTTGTAGAAAGTTTTTTTCGTTTTGTTTTCTTTTGACATCGTCCTTAAATAAACAGCATAATATGATATTCATATATGTAATAAATTTTTTTTTAATGCAAAAATTAAATTAATTCTATTCATAATAAATACTAAGAATATATTTATTTAATTAATAGATTAAAATGTGATTAACAAATGATAGAAAATAGTAAGTAATAAAAGAAAAAGAAGTTAGCGCAAGTGATTTGCAAATACAATTCATTTAAAAAAATGAATTGACTTTAATTAGTCAGAACTAATTAGAAAGATCATGACTTATATAAATAATGTATATTTATATAAGAGAAACATGTTGACAAACTATCATATTGTTATATAGTCTTCAATTCCTAACTATTTATGGTTTATATCATGCTGCAATTAATCCTGTTTTTTTTCTATTGATTTAGTTTTATTTGCAGAAGTATCACGAAGAAGTAATGGCCACATCCCTAGTGTATGGAAAATCACTATTAATTAAGAAAACAAATATAAGAACATATCTTACCTAATATACATCCTATTGAAACAAGAAAAACAAATAAAAGAATAAAACGAAATGATAATAAATACTTACCGCAAAAAATACAGATGACTTTCGCCTAAAGTTTCATAAAATGAGTCAGAGATAATAATTAATATGCACAGAACGTTTTCATTCATCTTACCAACAATTGTGTCACATGCACGCTTTGTAATTCCCATTGAGCTTTAGTCAATTTCGGTAAATCAATTCCGAATAAAGCTAAAAATCGTCCACATGTTCGCTCGATACGATCTGCAAGACTACATATAATAGAATCTTCTATCATCCAAATGTACAGATCACGTTTAACAAAAATTATCTTACCCAATACCCATAACATCACTCACAGCATTTCCAAAACCAGCAGCTTTAAAAAAGTATTTAAAAGTTTTTTTTTCTTAAGTTCATATATTTGGTTACCTGCCATTGTAGAAAGACAAAAAGCAGCACCAAAAAATGTTTCAATAGTTTCTCCCTGAATAGAACTAAAGATTTTATAAACTAAATGAAGAAATGAGCTCAAGCTACCGCAACCAGCATAACAAAATTATCGACAAAACCAAAACCAATATACGGAAGACCAGTTTCAAGAAAGACTATAAGATTTTTTTTCTAAGAAGTTTCAAAAATAAATCATAGATCATTTTCTTTTACCAACAGCAAGTTGTGAAGGGGGTATTGTAATTGGAGTAGTCGTTGTTGTTGATAATTTTTCCACATAAATTAATTCATCATGAAGAATCCTTAACTGTTCTTAAATTAGAAAAAAGAGTTTTTGAATAATTTCTATTATTGAAAAATTTCACCTGGTTCAAGTGAAAATAGAAAACTTCGTGCTAATAAATGCATATGTTGATTTGATTCAATTTTTGAATCATGAGTATCAGTATGTGTTTGAGTGATGGTTGTTTTCGATGCATCATATTTAATACGACGTTTTAAAAATAGAAATCGAGCAATTTTAAGTGAAAAATGTGAAGTTGATCGATGAGATGATGCATTATTTGACACTGGTTTTGTTGAAAAAGTTGAACATGAAAAAATTCGTTGAAAAAATACTGTCCGGGGAAGCCAACAATTATGAAAAGATAACCGAGAAGACATTTTGATGACTGTGGTTATAAGTATTCTTTGATGCTAATGTTTACGTAATTCGATATATTTCTTGTCATAGAATTTAAGAATCAATGTCACAGAAATGGCATATTGATAAATAGTACCCAGTCAAAAAAATAATTATCAAAGATGGCAGTAGTACACGATTGAAACGATCAATGTTTTTGGCAGAACAGAACATATATGCATCTGATATCAGAAATGGTTTATTACTTAGGAACTATTTCAAATGAGTAAATGAAAAAATATATGATAAAAGATATTTTGAAAAGCTGTTATGGCAGAAGATTTAAGAGAATTTTCTTTTCGAATGTAGCTCAAATTTAAAAGCTGTGTTCAATTTTTCGTTGAATTCATTTCTATGGAAAAAACAGTAGATTCCATGGCGAGCAGTTCATGTTCCTTTTTTCAAAACGATTCATGTTGAAAACTAGTGTGACTTACGTTATATGTTCGTATCAATCTCTTCATTATAAAGTGACGATGAAGTGAACATTTTTTTTGAAGTTTATTCAAAACAAAGAGAGGTTGTAATGTTCTGTCAATATTATGACTTTTGACTCTTCTTGTTTTGATAAGTCGTGAATAGCACAACTGCTAATATAGACAAAATTATATCTGAAATACGAAAAACAACCTTAGAATGGAGAAACGAATCATGATTAGAGGTGTAAGTCAAACAGATTAGCCGCCACTGGAAGAAAAAAAAAGAAGTTAAAGATTTTCAGTCGCAATCACCGTGATATCAAAACAGATGCTCAATTTTTGATAACCTTCGGCATTCAGAATCCCTTTTTGGTATGTTTTTTTATTAAAAAAAAGCAAAACAGATCTGTAGGTGTAGGAATTCATGAAGAATTGATCGACACACATCCAATTAAGATTGAGTATTAATAAATGATTCTGAACATCTGGTAACACATATGGTGGTGTCGTTGACTTATCGCATTTTTCGATTACAGGTCACAGTGCGATCGCAGTTACGGCGTAAATGCGTTGTCATTACTAAAAGAAATGATATCGATGAGATTTTCATTTTATTAATATTTTTATTGTGAATTTAAAAAAATTTGTTTAAACACAAAATCATAAATCATTTAGAAAAACTACAAAATTAAAAATTTTCACAAAAAATTAAAAACAAGAATTTAAACAGTAAAACAAATTACTGTAAAAAAAAATTTAAAAATTAGGAGTTATACAAAATTTAAAATTATTTTCTGAATATATATTCTGTCTTTTGTAGTATAACAGTGCCCATAATTTCTGATAGAAGTTTCCACTGCGATCAATACATCGCAGCTGCATGCACCTAAAAAGGG